TGACAGCAAAGGTTGAATGTGAAAAAAAAAAAACTGTTTAGGTATACTGGTTTGCGTATCAGTAGAAAAATATATGGCTGTATTAAATCCGTTACATTCCGGTGGAAAGTTGACAAAAAAAGTGCGGGTCAATATGACAATCTGTATTTGGATGTTTGCATTTCTATTCAACTTACCATACTTTTTCACTGCTAAATTGCATGAATTTGAAAACGAATTTTCATGTTCACGTCAAATGGAGTAATGATTTTTTTTTTTTCTTCATACTATCTGCATTAATGTTTTGTTTTCATCAAATGCTGCTGTTATTTTACTGCAATTTTTTTTCTCTTAGGTAATTTATTAACATAAAAAAAAGAAAAAAGAAATTGAACATACATCTGTGAATTAACACTTTGAAAAAGAAAATTTTTCTTTAGCTTTTTTTTTTTTCTGCTTTTCTTTTTTTTTCAACCACTGAATGCAGAAAATAAATTACCGCAAACTACAACAGAGTTATCAAAAAGTTTTACTAAAGATTTTAGCAACAAGTCTAAGCCAAACATTGCAGCCTAAAATAGGTTTTCCAGGTTTTTCTTTAAATTAAAACTTTTATCTAAGATAAAGCATGTATAAATAAAGTATAACCGTTACGTACATTGCCTATTAAGACTGAAATATTAATTCAACGAGTGAAGTAAAATAGCAAACCAAAGAATCGTTTTTTTTTTTTTCCGGTTGTTACTTTTCACAGCTGTATCAAAAACTGTACCTCAATAAGTATTAAAAAGTAGTAAAGGGCTTATTTTTTTTTCAGCAAAAATTTTTCACGGCATTGGGTAACAATATCATTTGTATTTTGGTATTGCATTCCGCTGATAACAATGGGATATATTTATGCCAAAATTGGTATGGTACTTTGGCATAGCGCTAGCGGAAATGTTGTTATTATAACTGATGTTGAAAGTGATGCTGAAATACCGCATTTACGTAGCGGCGTCTATGGTCGTAATTTTACCAGTCAGTAATGCTTCCCATTACAATTTACATACACAATAGATATTGGTTGAACAAACATGATTCCTGTTGGTAATGACAACTGAGAATGAGAAGTGGTTTCAAATTTCATATCGTAATTGTTACTTGTTACTACTAAAAATTTTTTAGGCAGTAAATATCCAATACGGTATGGTAGTACCTGGTCCAGATCAGATGCTACAGCTCGAAGAAGAACTGAAGCTAGCATAATTGGTAATGTACGGAAAACTTCACGAAATGAGACAGTGGAAACTCGACGAAAGGTTATTCGATTGTTGATTGCAATTGTTCTTTCATTTGCAATACTAACTCTTCCACATCACATTCGCTTAGTATATTTGGTATGTTTATTATTCAATCAGTGTCTTTTTTTTTTATCTTTAAAACAAGTAACGAAAACGATGTGAAGAAAGAATGAAACACTAGTTGCTTCGAAAAAAAAAAAAAACGTATCTTATTCTTACAAGTTTTAAATTTAATTTTTATTCGTTTAGCTTTTATGCACTAAATAATTTGTGAATTTTGGTATATTAAAGCACCTGTTTCAACCTGTTTTAAGATGTGGAAAACAGATCCGGTAATTTGTATAGCATCATTTTATTTTTATGTTCAACCAATAACCTATTTATTGTTATTCTTATCCAGCTGTACAAATCCATTTTTATATGCTTTCTTTTCAAGTAAATTTCGATCAGCTACCTACGATGTTTTATGCAGGTATATCAGCCAACTTATTAAATTTTAGTTATTTCTGTTCCTAAGTTTATTGCCAAAATTTGGAACAAATTTTTACATTTTTATAATTTTAAGCTACTTTTTACAGTGCAGTGCCAAATTTCATTTTAACTGTAAATTAAAATTTAGACATTTGAAAAAAAAAAACAAAAAAGCTTTTTTCTATTAATTAGTTGATAACAAACTACTTTTATAGAAGATGGAAAATGAGTCGTCCACTTTTACAGCGTCTTCGAACATTGACTGCAGAAACCTTGGAGGTTGCTCCCAGTTCTCCATATCTTCTTAAAACACCATGCAAAACTACAACTCTATAGATCGGACAACAGTACAGCAACAAGAAAAAAAAAATTGGAAAAAGTTCTGCCTCTATTTAACAACACTGCCAAATAGTATTGCACTGAAATCCTGTAAATTAAACTGTATCATTGCTTAAGCAATAATCTACATATTCAGATTACAGGAAGATTGAGAGAAGAATGAAAACAAAAGTTGGCAAATGATGAATGTGGTTTATCGTTGTTGTTGCTGCTGTTTTTTTTATTTAGTTTTATTATTATTTTTTTCTTCTTCTTTTGGTTTTTTTTACTTCTCCTCATCATCGTTGTCGCTGTTGCTGTTAGCTGCTACATTGCTTTGGTTGTTTGTCTAGAAGCTTAAACTGATGATAGTTTGAACCTGTTGAAAACTTGAAACTTTGTCAGTGTTGATATATGGCAGACACTCACTCACTTTAACCCAAACACAGATACAGACATTTAACACTTAAACTCACCAAATAATTACACACACACAAAAGAAGAAAAACATTGTTCGGTACCTTTTGTTCACATATTTTTTCTAAAAAATTAGAAAGAAAACTATTTTTTATCCTACTTTTTTTTCGTTTTCCACATTTTTCTAC